AAAATTGCTTATTAAATCATATGTGACAACAAATAAAATATTTTAAAGAGTAAAATTTTCTAACAGTAAAATGAACTAATAAAATAGTAGCAAGTTTGACCTTATTTTAATCTTGATTAGTTTTTGATAATAAGCCATATAGCAATTCACTGTTAGCAGCAATTAAACGTTTAAATGTTTAAAATTTAAATACCTTTTTAATCGTTTGGTAAAGTATAAGAAAATCAAAAAATTTCGTTTTTTAGATTACTCATATTTGAAGTTCATTAGGAAAGTGTCAAAATAAATTTTTCAAAAGATAATTTACAGTTTACGTATCAGAGATAACAGATAAATCTTGAAACATTCTTCAGTTCACTTATTTTACTCGGTTTCGCTGGAATTTACATATTTGTTAAGACCTAATTGGTGAATCAATTCCTATCAAGTATGAATCATAACAAAATATCTACAAATTACCCTATCATGTACACCACTTAGCAACAAAAAGACTCATTACAATCAAACTGGAATTTACGACAAAACGTCACTGGTACCGAACAATTTGTCGCTGTGTTTTACAGTATTCCTTAAAAAAATGATTCTGATGACTATAAATTAAAAAAATCCAAAAACATCAATCCTCTTTTAATGAATGCTTCAGCCTTAAACAACGACAAATGTTGGAATAAATAAATTTTACAAATTAAAATCTTTCAGTAATTATGACTTAAAAGTTAAAATGTTTTGTTGTGAATCTAAGTGATAAAAAATGAACATTTGATACCATTTTTTAAAATGCTCTTCTTTCAGACACTTTTTATTCTTTTTTCTTGACTCTGTATTATTCTTACACAAAAACTGTACTTAGGAGAGGGGAGGTGAGGTGAAGCGGGAGGAAAAATAAAAGTTACATGAAATTTTGTGCAACTTTAAAAGTGCTGTTCTTAAAATTATAGCTGTATTTTGAATTTATAATCAAAACAGTTTCCCAAAAAGTTTAAACATATTAATTATCAAAAAAATTTTTGAACTCATTCTCGGTCACTCATCAAATTTTATTTGCAGCGAAAGGATACGATTATCAACAAGCAAATCCTCATTTTGGTTATCTGCAACAGAATGACTATAATGCGTACGGCATTACACCAAACTATAATATCCCTAATCAAGTTGGACTCAATTATCCATCATCTTTTAATCCTTACTCGACATCTCAAAGTCTCTACAACTCGATGCCCTCCGCTTATTCGTCACCTGTAACTGCTCATTACAATAATTATATGACTTCTAACAATCCTCATTCGCCTTCTCTTTATCATTCACAAACTTTACCGACAAGTACAAACAGTCAACCGACGTACAACGTTAACGATTTTGCAAAATATCGTGGATTTTCACAGGTTTTTAATCAAAAACAGCTTCAATTACAACCTACACCATATCATAGTCTTCAGAACTACAATGCTCTTGGAAACGCAATTGCCCAATCATATAATCTGTATAGTGAACCAACAAAAACTTCTACAAATCAGGGTTGCTATTATGGGAATTGTTATGGTAACACGGAAACAACTACTGACATTAATCAGAAAAATTTACAGAGATATTCGCAGTATTTAAACATTCTTCAGAAACATTATGGTATTAGGCTTCCTGAAGAAACCAGTAGTCAACAGGTGCAAAATAGCTACCCTAATCCGTCACAGTATGGCTTTTCAACGACAGGCTCTTCGCTAATTTATGGACAACCAACTAATCCTGTTAACATTTATGAGCAATCTGTAGTCCAGCCAACCATACAACGACCTAATAATCCTATTCTACCACAGCCGATTATTCAACCACAGTCACCTGTTCGACCATGGTCTGCTATACAAAACAATGCCTATACCTATATGAATTCTCGTGAAAGCGATTTATCCAAAACTAATAATTTACAAGGAAACTATATAAGTAGCCAAGGAACCATGTCAAAGAGCATCTATGGTGCAGGACAGATTAGCTCAGGCGTTACTTCTCAGGGAAGCGAAGATAAAATTGATGAAGAGGAGTATGAGAGTAATCATCTAACACCAAGTACACTGCCGCCGACAACACAACAACCTTTTACCTATACAACTCAACAAACATCAACTCAGTCGGTGAATTCGGTTCAGGGTAAAGGTGACACACAACCGATGATCACAATTGCTGCTCTTACTCAGCAAGTATGTCTAAAATGGTCTATGTATGACAGATTAATTTTTCTAAAATTACTGCACTGTATCAGTTTATTTAACAGCTTTAAATGCTTTTATTGTTGCACAAATGATCAGTGTTACTGTTAATTCAACAATAAATTTCCGCTATAATAATTTGTTTTTTATATCTTTTAGATCAGACGTCTTCCGGCTGTACTTTATGTCGATTCTCGTCAAGCAGATGCTAAACGTTCTGAGCAGTTACTACGAGAGACCTATGGATTACCACTTGTGGCATTTTACGTGGATAAACTTGGTGCAGTATTTTTTCTTGTTTTTAACTGTTCTATTGAAAAAAACAAACTTTTTTCATTATTTTATATATATATATTACCATTCTACAAAACTAAATACATATTCCAGTTGCATATTATCATTAATTTTGTTTTTTTTTTTTTTTAATTTTTTTTGTTATTAGTTGGAAAAGATATTTTTGACTAATAAACAACTCTTTACAGAAATAAAAAAAATTTTTTCTTCTTTTTTTTTTTATTTAAAATAATTTATACTATAGACGATTCGGCAGTTGTGGAAAAGTTACTGCAACAGTTGACAGCACATAAAGGATTACCTTACCTGTTTATCTGTGGAACATTTATTGGAAGTAAGTCTTTTGTATTATTATTGTTGATCTTTTTTTTCTTTTTTTTACCGCTACATTTAGACGAGTAGTCAGTAGAATGAACAATTTAAAAATTTCATAGAAGAAGTTGCATTTAGGTCAACAACATATCGAAAACTATCATAAAAATGGTCAGGTACCACAGCTGGTAGAATATGTATGCGGTGATGAACAAAAAAAACGTAAAAAGAAGACCTCATCATAACTGCTATTTTCAAAATTTATTTATTTATTTATTTATCATTGCCTTGTAAATCACATGTAAATAATTTATCACTGTCTATTATAACTGATTTTGATAAGAGTCTTTTTTTTTTCTTTCCACCTGTAATCACGACGTGAATTTGAGCACTGTTGTTAAAGTTACGTTTGTGTTATCACTTTGTTCTCTCTTATCATTTTCTTACCAATTATATTTTGCAAAACATTGGAATTCTGCAAACATATAATTCCATTGCGCAGGAAACTTTACAACGTTCAAATTAGTGTTGTCAGTTAAAAGAAATAGAACGAAAAAAAAAAAAAAAAAGGTAAAC